ACTCTTAAAGAGTTTATGAAAATTGGGGCATAGATAGATAGATAGATAGATAGATAGATAGATAGATAGATAGATAGATAGATAGATAGATAGATAGATAGATAGATAGATTTTGTAATCTGCGAACATGGGTTAAAAATGGGGGGGGGGGCTGACTTTTCCAGCACTGACACTTCAGATGACCGTTTCCACTCCGGTCCAGAAGGGGGCGGTATTCAGCCGGGCGCCACCACCACCAAAACAAAGCGAAGAAGAAGCAGATCGTAGAAGAAGAAGCGCCAGTATCCGTAGCCGCGGCGGACCCGGACTTAAGCCAGAACTCTTTCCTGAGTTTGCCTCTGTCAGGGGAATGCGGCCCCGGCCGGAGCAGCTCCCGCTTCTGTAACAGGTATTAACCAGGACACCGCCCAGGTGTGATGGCGGGATGGAGCTAACTGTGAGCGGACACAACGAGCCATGCACGGCTGTGAGCTAATGAAGTCCGGAGGCTGTAGCTGGATAATAGTTACATTATAATAATATCACTTATAACCATGCATACAATAGTAATGCTATTATTATTATTAGGACTGCCTGCTGGGCCTGGTGCTCTTTAGCTCCAGTAGCCACGAACATCTGGCTCAGAGGCCCAAGTATGGATTCAGTATGGAGTCTGGAAGACTGAATAGTTCATAACAGAGAAACAAGCTGGTCTGAAACATCATTCACACCTGTTTGGCTCTTCCCGTTAGGAGTCATCTGATTAAACTGATTTTATTTGCCAATCATCTTGAAGAAATGTTCATTTTCTGTTTGTTATTTCAAACTCAGATCGGTCATATGCCCTTTAAGTTACTCAGTGTAGGCTGAATGTGCTCCATTTTTTAAATAAACATATTCTTAAATATTGTCCCAAAACAGACCAGACTGAATGTTTAGACCGTATCAGGCTGGAGTCCTGGGAGGAGTGAGGACATATTCTGTTCTTGGGTGAGCTGATTGGTCCTGGAGGCGGTGACACTTGTGGACTGACTGTACTGTGACATCCCCCCCCCCCCTGCAGGGTGCCATGGGCCTGCGCAGTGGGGGGGCCTGGTCCCTGGTGGTCCTGGCCGCTGTGCTACTCTCTGCTGCTCTGCTCTACCTGTACGTGGGCTCGGCCCAGCGGATGGACCAGAGGCTGCTTTATCCCAAAGGGGGGTGTGAACCGGGACACTTCAGATTACCAACACAGAGGAACTGCACCCCCTGGCTCCGGTGCTCACACATCCACACAGAAGTCCGCCCGCTGAAGCTGATTGGACAAGGAGCTGTGAAGAAGGTAGAGGCCATTTAAAGGCCACTTCAGCTCAGCTCGTGTCTGAATGCCCTCATAAGATTATTTTAGGATCACAGATGGCACCAGTGTCGTCTACAGCTCTCTACTCTGTTTATGTTTTACTGTCTTTATGGGTTTCATCAAAGTCTCAGTTCCATACTGTCCCAGACACTCTGAGCTTCATTCACTGGCAGAATCATCAATGTAGGTTGGTCATAACAAAGGAAAACATGTTCCCGGCTGAGGTGCCAGCTGGTTTTGGTGTGAGCAGCTATGTGACTTTAGGATGCCAGTGCTCAGCCTCCTGGAGGCGTGGCCCAAAAAGAAGAGCCACTGATGAAAGGGGGCTCCCGTCAGATGAGCCAATCATGTGCTGCTCAGCACTGAGCGGGGTTCATAGAGTTGGTCGTCTTTTGGGCTGAGTCCAGATGAACCAAGAGCCCAAATTTGGCCCTCACCTCACCGTAAGGCAGCTGGGATGAGGGGGTACTCACACCCTCCCCCATTGGGCAGCACTCCGGGGGGGGCGTGTCAGTCGTGCTGTTAAACTCCTTTGTAAACAGACACTTTCCTTCAGCTAAAATGAACAACTGGTGTGAGGTTTCCAGTGAGATCTCCCTAATATGTTTGAATGCCCAAAAACCTGTTTGTTACCGTGCTTTATGAACTGATACGTTCACGCTCAGCTCTTCTCTGCTTTCAGGTCTACCTGGCGGAGTGGAGACATCAAAAAGTGGCTTTGGCTAAACTTTCCTCCCCGGACTTCCTGCAGGACTTCCTCCACGGCCTGTCCATGCTGCGGGCCCTTCAGGGCCGGCACGTGGTGCAGCTGCTGGGCTTCTGCCTGGAGGAGCCCGCGCTGGTCACAGAGTACCACCCCCACGGCTCCCTGCTCAACCTGGACACGGTTTTAGCCAGGGAGCAGTATGAGCAGCAGAACAAGTGGCCCATGCGGCTGAGACTAGCCATGGATTACGTTAGCATCCTCCAGTACCTCCACAGCAGCCCGGCGGGGGGGCGGGTCATGTGTGACTCCAGCAGCCTGGACAAGACGCTGTCCCAGTTCCTCCTGAGCAGCCACTTCCACCTGGTGGTCAACGACCTGGACGCCCTGCCCCAGGTGGACCCGTCCAGAGGCCTCCTGGTCAAATGTGGCCACCGGGAGCTGACGGGAGACTTCGTGGCCCCAGAACAGCTGTGGCCCTTCAGAAACACGGGGAGGCCCTTCTCAGACAGTCACATGCCCCCCTACGACGAAAAGACCGACATCTGGAAGATCCCAGATGTGACACGGTTCATCATGGGGACAGTACCTGGGGGGGATTTAGTCCATTTCCATCTTTTCCAGATCCATAAGGAATGTAAGAGGAATGATCCCAGGAGCCGGCCCTCAGCTCTGGACGTCCTGAGGGCGTACGCGGCAGTGTACAGCTCCATGGTGCGGGACAGCTCTGGCATTCGGGACATGCTGTAGGAGGGGTTCATGACTAAAAGCACCCTTTAAAGCATGCAAGGTGCAGGTCTAGTGAGTTCTGAATTCTAAATAAAGCAATGGTATTTTCTTATTAAATTGTTGTGTAGAAATGGTTGGTGACATTTTTTGTGTTTCTTTTTAAACGGGTTTCAAAATACAGCGAACAACTCTCTGTGCTGTGGAACAGTCTGAACGCTCCATTTGAATCTAGTTTAAGGACCTAAACATTTGAACCATTTGGTTTTTAGTGGATAACAAAAAGCACTCAAACATCCTGGAACTCATCTTTAAAACCGAGGACATAGAACATAAATTCACACCTGATGTACAGTTAGCAAAGAGCTGACTGAAGCCTTTCCTTTGGATTTGTAATAAAGCCGGACTAAACTGCTGGCCGCTCTAATTTGTGAATGAAAGAAAAGCAGCACTTTGAGGCCTCCCCTGACCTCCTGATGACCAACAGAACCCTCAAACCCCAGTCACCACCTCAACTACACAACTGTCTGCAGACCTCATCCACACCGTCCAAAAGGTGTGGGAAACGCTCTCAGAGACTGAGACGTGCACTGTGAGTGTATCCAGACTGTGTGAGTGTATCCAGACTGTGTGAGTGTGTATCCAGACTGTGTGAGTGTGTTTGTATCCAGACTGTGTGAGTGTGTTTGTATCCAGACTGTGTGAGTGTGTTTGTATCCAGACTGTGTGAGTGTTTGCATCCAGACTGAGTGACTATACAGACTGAGTGTGTGTGTATACAGACTGTGTGTGTGTGTGTGTGTGTGTATACAGACTGAGTGAGTGTGTATACAGACTGTGTGTGTGTGTGTGTATACAGACTGTGTGTGTGTGTATCCAGACTGTGTGTGTGTGTGTATACAGACTGTGTGTGTGTGTATCCAGACTGTGTGTGCTCTAACATCAGGTAGGTCTTCCACCAGCACAGCTCTGGGCAGTCAGCATATGGAATAAGATGGATGTGTGTGTGTGTGTGTGTGTGTGTGTGTGTGTGTGTGTGTG